TCTTTTCACATTCTCTCCTTTTCAGTTTAACCCAGATTATCATAACAAGCCCATGCTGCAGTGAGCAGTGGACATGTATGTCCTCTTCTGTTCAACAGTTCCAAAGTTTTATTCCTACTAAACTGGGAGTTGTCATAGCCCTCCTAATCCAGCAATCTAAGAAAATTTGTTTTAGTGGTACATGTTTTATTTATCCCACTTTTAGATATAATATCACAATTTTTTAAAAAACCAATTACTTATATCTATTTAATTCCTTTCTCTAAGGGTCACTTCAGCCTAATTATTGTTTTTACACTCAGAGGCATTTGTAGCAGCCGCTGGTTTTATCCCCCTTTGAGTTGTTTCTTCTCATGTCTTTCCATCCACTCAATGACCAACCAGGCTCTGGTCAGTCAACAGTTTTCAATGAACAAAGGAAAGGCAGATGCAGAAAACCGCAGGGTGCTGGGTGCAGTGCCCTTCCTCCTGGATGTCGACAGGGTTAGGTCACCTCGGTTTCTCTGAGGCTCTCTCCTCACTGCCAGCTGTATGAGTCCCACGAACTAGAGATGGCTGAACGTTCCTCCCAGGAGGAACTGAACCTAAAAAGGGTTCAGAAATTCCAGGGCACACATGCGCCAGAGCAGCGCCTCTTATTATTAGGAGGGTCGGCCAAAAGTGATGAAGTACGTGTTTGCATCTAACACTGGGAACTCAGTGGGCTTGATTTTTCCTCTGGGGACCAGATACTAAATGAGACTTAGCTCATGTTTCTTACTAGTGGCTGCTTCATATACTGATGGGTACAGGGTTTATATGAATAGTGGAGAACTGTTACTTCAAAAAATAAAATTAACTTGCAGTAGGTGAGTTGAAGAGCAACAGTTACGACCACCTTCTCTATACATTAACTCATTTCAAGATGCTTCTCCCTCCCCATGTCATGGACACTATTTTAAGCACTAAGACCTCTAACTCACTAAATAAACACCTCTATTCTGATGATCCCTACATTTATACTTGGCAGCAACTCTGACCTTTAACCTATATCCAACTACTTATTTCACATGTCCACTTGGATAAGCACTTTAATGGCAACATGTTCAAAACTGAAACTCATGATCTTCTTCACACCATAGACCTAATCCTTCCTCCAGGATTTCCTGTCTCAAGGACTAGCTTGCCAGTGCTGACAGCAACTGCCGTCCAGGCCAGAAATCTGTCTCTGTCCACGGCCGTTCTCCTACACCTAACACAATTCCTGGCACATAGCAGGTACTGAGTATTTTTTGGATGAATACTGAATACTTTTATGGAAACTGCCATTAAGCCAGACTCTCAATCCTTCAAAGACCAATGGAATGGATTATGTATATCCCAAACTCAAGCAAATCTTTACTGCCTCTAAAATCCAGCCTCTTTCCTCATGCCAAAGTTAGCACTATTTACTCAAACAGTTGAATGCCTTCTAAAATTCCCATCATTACTGTGCATCAACATGCAGTTAAATGAATGAATTGATTATAATTTTCTCTGCTCTACCAAATTTCTACTTCTCGTACTGTGCTTCATGAATGTGTCACTGCTGGAAAATGAACACTAACTGTGTATTCAGGGCATTTAGCAGCAAATTTGAGTGAAATGTTGATATCTTGATAGGAAAGATTTCCTTGAGCTCTACTAAGCATTTTTAAGAGCAAATTGTGTCAGCAGTCTGAAATTACATGCAAAATTATCTAAACTATTTACATATGATAGACAGGCACACTTTGAAACAGATAAAGCTTTCAAACTGTAGGGGATGAAGCTGAATAATTACCTCCAATCCAAGTTTTGTTTCCGGCTAAAGGCGTAAAAAGCAAACAGTTATGGTACACAATAGTGTGAGACTTCAGGTAGCAACAGATATAATTATAGCCCTGATGCACACATGGGGCAGCTGCTGCATTTCATCTACTATTTTAGAGACTTACTGAATACTTAATGCAATAAGACATGAATTACTCCTGGATGTGGTCTATTACTTTACTTTTTTTTGCATTGTACAAGCAGAGTGGTGCATACCTTGGAGGGACTAAGGAGGCTTCTTCTTATGTCTGAGCTTTCTATGCTCTAGACCATCTTAATTGCATTAACCAGTTGTTGGTTAACTAAAACTGTTGGAGGTATACCACTAATTGTTCAGCCATCACATCTCGAAGGAAAACGATGTAAGTTCCCTGCTCTCTGATTTGATCTTTCTCAGCTCATGCTTTTGACTATTCAACAAGATCCTGAAAAACAAGTGTGAAATCTGTGGATTGGAAGCCAGTAGATAACCTTCAATCTTAAAAATCAAAATTCAAGATATTATGTCAATTTGAATCATTGCAAGATTTTAAAGAAAAAATAATCTCTTTTTAGTTGGAATGTTTTCATATTCTTTCTTACCTCCTTTCTAGGCCACAAATACTTCAGGATAACAAGTTAATATTTAACTGAGCACTTAGTATGTCCAAGTACCTTACTTAGACAACAATTTCTCAACCTTGGTACTTCTGACATTTTTGGACCAGATAATTCTGTTTTGGGATATGCATTTGGGATATTGAGCAGCATCCTATGCCTCTACCCTCCCCACCCCACACCTAGCTGTGACAATCAAAATGTCTCCAGAAATTGCTAAATATTCCCTGGTGTACACAACTGCCCCTAGTTGAGAACTACTGCCTTATCTATCAGTTAACTTGACCCTCTAAACAATTTCATGAGGTTAAGTTCTATTCTCCACTGTACAGATGAGAAAACAGGCACAGATTCAATAACCGGCCTGTTGTCACCCAGCTCTTGGTAATAGAGCCAGTATTTGAGCCAAGGTAGTCTGACTCCAGATCCCCACTCTTAACTGCTGCCCTAGCGACTTAACTCCTTTCTGACTATAGGGCTTAATGAGAAGAGGCTCATTGGATCAGAATCCCTTCCAGAGTTATTGAAAAGGAATTGCTGACCCAGCAATGATGACTGATTCTGAAATCGACTTGAAAGTAAAAGGGAAGGCGGAGTAAAATCTCCATCTAACTATGTATATCTGAGACAGAGTAATTGAAAAACATTTCTTAAACAGAGGATCTAAAAACCCATAGCATGGTATCTTCTTCTATCACCTAAATCATTTTTATATTTAAGTAGAAAAGATACTAAGGTTAATTTAGGCACTTTTGTTTTTTACAAATGGTACAGTGGAACATATTTTTAATTACATAACAAAAGAAATTATTTGCTGATAAGTTTCAACATATTTTATATATATTTATCATGTTTGGTGTTAGAAATTGAAATTATATTAAAATTTGGGTTGAAACAAGTTATTTTTTTTCTCGTAAACTTTTAAGATACTCTCCTAGCAACTTTCAAATATGCAGTATTATTCACTATATTCACCATGCTCTACATTGCATTCCATGATGTTTATTTTATAACTGAAGTTTGTAGCTCTTAATCCCCTCTACCCATTTTATTACCCCCTGCCCCTGTTTCCACTGGCAACCATCAGTCTGCTCTCTGTATGTATGAATTTTATCTTTTTTTAAATTCCACAAATAACTGAAATTACACAGTATTTATCTGAGTTATTTCACTCAGCATAATGCCTTCAGTCCTCCATGTTGTCATACATGACAAGATTTTTATGGCAAACTAGTATTTCATTGTATATATATATAAATGCACCACATCTTCTTTATCCATTCATCTATTGACAGACATTTAGGTTATTTCCATATCTTGCTATTGTAAATACTGCTGCAATAAACATGGGGCTGCATGTATCTTTTTGACTTCATTTTCTCTGGATAACTACCCAGAAGTGGAATTGTTGGATCACGTGGTATTTTAGTTTTTTGAGGAACCGCCATACTGTTTTTCCATAGTGGCTGCATTCTTAAAGCACCTCCTCTCTTAACAGAAATACCGACTCACCAGCTAGTATAATTCTCATCATTAGATACTATTCAGTGATTGGAGATTTATATCTTCCACTTAACAGAATTCATTTGCAGATGACCCTTGTTAAAATGCTAATATTCATATTAAGTCCTGTTAGTCTTCATTTAAATAAATTAATTAAATTAGTCATTTAGCAAGCCATTATAAAGTATATTATAAAACGAAAGTTCTGATAACCCAGTCAGGAGTAGGGAAAATCTGGTTACAAAGTATTGTGCAGGAAAGCCACACACGGAGCCGTGCAGGGGACAGGAGGCCAGAAGTGAGGAGGAGGCATGGAGAGTCACTTACAGGAAACTTTTGCTTCCTTTCCATCCTTCTCCCAGATCCTTATTTGACAATCTCTTCCCCTGGTGATATTTTGGAGTTCTTCTCTCAAAATGAAGATTGGCCCCAGCCTGTCCAAGAAGGCTACACAGCACACCTGCCACTTTATGGCAAATTACTTGGGGTTGAAAACTCCCCCAAGTGTCATTGCTCTTCTAATAATCAGCTATCCAAGCTGCTTTTTACGTTAATGAACATGGATTTCTACATGTAGGAAGCCTAAGCCTGTATTCACTATGCACATGACTTTTCCTTGGTCCTGGCTTCTCCAAACACCTTGTGGAACACAAAATTTCACCATCTTCTATAGAACAAGAGATATAGGGGAGGGAACTCTATCATTCCTTGTGGATATCATCCTGTTGGCAGGAGTCTTCTTTTACTGTCATATGTAGGGAGGAAAAAGGATTCCATTCCTTCTTCCCCTATTCATTACTTCTAGATAAATGCTAGTAGACAACTACTTGTTTTCTTTAATCCAGAGAGTGTCAGACAGTCACTATGTTAAGGGGCTTCCTATCTGGGAGTGCCTATTGTGAGAATCTCTTTTCAAAAAAGGAAGGAAATAATAAAATGCCACTGAAATTCAAACTAGGTTCTGTAATTAAGCACTTTAAATATGTTCAAAGCAATTTTCAAATATTCAAATGCTATCAGAAAGCTTCTCTAAAAATATGGACAAGAAAATCAGACTCAAAGTCCACAGGTGATATAACAGGCAAAAATTTTATTGTGGAACTCTTAGAGGCCAGTGATGAAGAGAAGAAAACCATCACATGGATTGAAAAGCTAGGTTGGGTGGTTAATTGCAAGAGTGAGCAGATAAAGCCTCACATAGAGTAGTTATCAAGTAGGCTTCAAGATGTAAAGTTGGCCTATATCTCAACTGTCTTTTGGGAAAACCAGAGAGAAGGATCAGCATATAAAAGCTTGAATTAAAAAAAAAATCGTCTATTTATTATATTTTGCAACTATGGTCTTTTAAAACAGGGGCCTTAGGAAAATCTGCCTTGGCAATCAACTACAGAGGCTCCTGTGGAGAGGAAGTGAAAAGGTGAAGCCTATATACAAGGGCTGCCGGCACGTCCAAAGCGCAGGGGATAGTTCACAGAGCAAAATGTAGTCCTAAGTAAATGAGTTTCAGGCAATTTCAGTGTTAAGATAACATCATTAAGAGTAGAACAGATTGTGCTCAAACCCTGCTGTTTATAATTAACACGTTGCTTCCAAATACTCCAGGGTCCCTGATAAATAGTCTTCTGCTCACATCCACCCAGGCCAATCAGAGTATTTTCATCAGATTCCATGCTGGGCCAGCACCTGTCTGGACAAATCCAATAGAGCCGAAGAACTCCTCTCCTTGGCCAGCTAAGGAGCTGGATGAACACAGCTTGGCTTAGTCATTGTCACAGTGTCCATATGGCTTTGACGCTTGTTCTCACAAGAAATCATACAAGTATTTTATTATGTCAAAGTTCACTGTCCTATAAACGAAAACAGATAATATGTTAGCATGCTTACCCCCTAGACTGCTCAGCTTTGTATATATGCTTCTGGAAAGCACATGCAAAATAACTCACAACTAAGGCTAACCAAACCTACATACAGCACTACCAAAAACACCATGATGAGAGGGCCATGAACTTCTGAAAAGGTCATTAGGAACAGAGTTTCTTTTAACAGTTTCTTCCTCTCACCCCACCCCACGCAGAAAGTTTGCTTTTCTAAAAAAAGGAAACAAAGTTAGAACTACTCAACATTCTGTATTTCAATTATGCTACAGAAAGTTTAGATTTCATTTGAAAGCAATTTGCTTTTTGTCTAACAGAATAAAGTAATTAGCAATGCAAAAGTATTTAAATCTTTGCTTCTGAACATTGTTTATCTTTCAAAGCCCCTGTTTTGTCATTACATAATACACAGCTCATCTGTCCTCATTTGTAGTTTTCCTTCTTTCAGTCTTTTAACACTGGCTGACCTGTATGTGTATTGTAATTAAATCTGTATGATCTAAGAATACGATACAACAGACATGTGAATGTATATTTTTGTACTCTGATGGCAGGCAGAATAAAATAGCTGGGAGACAGAGACATATAATTATTTTCCTTTCTTCAAACTCATTCTTCACTATAAATATTCAGACTTGGAGGTTTATTATTTGAATAAATGGTCAAAATAATTAGATATAATGATCAAGCAATAAGTATAAAATTAAAGCCTTAAAGTATTCAATTCTGCAAAAATAATCATCCATGTGAGAATAGCCTTTTTAAAGATTCACTAATTGCATGCTCTTATTTATTAAACCATATCAATTAATGTTTTTGCCTACCATTTTGTAATACACTTTCTAAAAAAGTTTCTAAGCAAATAACTGACATAAAACATTTTTAACAATTTGGGATGGGGAGCTATAGATACTGCTTATGAAAACACATTTAAAAATAACTCAAATGAGATGCTCCAGCTTTTGTGATACCTAATGTTGGACTGAAGAATACCTTAACTGTCTCATTACAATAGTGCCTCTCTAAAGAATACTAAGCCTTTCCAAATTGTATAAAAACTGCCAAAACAATCCTGTTATCATTAGCAGTAATAAAAAAAAAATAGTTACTGAAATTTAAAAAACATCCTATCTTACACATAAAGACACAAAAGGTATAGTTATATCATGTTATATTATGTTCAACTTAGAACCCCACTCCCCACCCCGAAATTTACTTACTGGTAACAAGATACTACTAACAAATCAATTTTTTTTAAATCATGATATTAGGTGAAAATATACTTTTAGAGGATCTTAGAAGAAAACAGATACAAATAGGCTATTTTTAACAACAGGCAAAATGGGAAGTGGTCTTTGTACATCTACCCAGGCACATTTCCCCCCTAAGCCTAAACTGACCAGGTAAAGTGGACTTCATGTTGTTTTATTGTTTTTTGGTGATTTTTTTTTTGACATTGGGTGAAAAACTTCAGAAGAAGCTAAAGTTAAAACAATTTAAATTCCTACACTATCGGATTAAAAGGCATTATTTGATAGAATATCCATAAAAATGACTGATAGAGACATACCTACAATATTAGAAGGTAAAAGAGAACAGAGATTTGTGACTACATTGTGATAGCTTAGGAGGTATGTTTGTATAATGGCCTAGCACTGTAGGAAAATACAAACAAGTGAAAACGGTGTGATTTGTTAGCAGTAGGACTCCTTTATTTTATTCAGTTATCTGTTTGTGTAACTAAGTGTTGTTAAGGGAATAACATTTTATTTAATAGAATAAACTGACTGACTTAAAAACACTAAGCAATTTAAATGTACTCATTAACCAAAAGCTTAACTACATTCCATTTCTCTGATTTGCCTTTGGGAAGTACTCAAACAAGTTGAACCATAGTTAAGATTTTTAGACTTCTCAAAAAACTGATCAGGAATTGAGTATGTAAGATTATTCCTTTAAGGAACATTTACTGCCCAAGATGTATGACTGTATCTTTCCACCATCCCTCCATTGCCCAATATAAACATGCGACTGCCAACTGATCCCCACATATATATCCTAAGACGTGGAAGAATTTGATAGAATCACCACAAGGGCAACATCAAAATTGTGTCAAACATCCCAAAGATAACTTTATGCTTTAAAGGACTTGGAGACAAAACAATTCACTTTACAGAAAGTTTTAACTTACAAAGAGAGTTATGTTCTTTCCATGTACTTTCTCTGGCTTTTCATGGCTTCAGATGTATTCTAGACTCATATAAATACAACTTTGAGATTTTGGATAGTTTAGTACAGAAGATTCTCTCTCTCAGAGAGAATTATTTCCTAAAGAAATTTCCCAAGTTAATTATTTCCTAAAGAAAGCATCTAGAAAGAGTACAAACACACAAAAAATACAGGTGGCAATCTGCCTAGGAATATTCTTAACTCAGAATCTAGAATACTGTAATGCAAGTTAATTACAGGGCATGTTCCTAAGGATTTAACTCTGCCTTTATCCTTTGATTTCACTTTGTTGATGTTTTTTACTACACCAAAATACTTTTTTCTCACGGGATGCTATTTTCTTTTCTTTTACTTTTGTCGGTAAGTTTGAGGTCTTTTTTAGTTTTGTTCTTCTGATGACTTGTAACCATACAAAGTTATGTTGCAAGCTTAAGTTATCTTATAGGTCTTCTCACTGAAAATGGAAGGAAAAAATTGGAAACTTATAACCACCACTTACACCAGGAACAACACAAGGACAATATTTAATAAGCTTCTCATCATCTATCATCTCTCTTTGCCCATACTCTACCTCTATATCGTGTGCTCCCTTTCCAGAACCAGCCTCTCACTCCTCTGTCCAAACCTTTACAAGGTTCCTTGGTCAATAAAATTCCCTACATCCCTACCTCTTCCATGAAAGGTTTTTCCTTTTCTGGGCTTAACTAAAGTTGGCTCCCTTGAAGAACCTAGCCTCCTCGTCAGCTCTTTCCAACAAGGCTGGATTCTCACTGCACCCAGGCAGTCCTGCTGTCCTGTCAGGAGTTAATGTCTCTGTGTGAGAAGCTCTGCTCCTTTGAGACTCAGACCATTCCACTGACAACCCTTTATCCCCATCACCATTCTCGGTCACTGAATAATGCAGCACCCAGTTCAATTATCCTCTCCATCCCAAATTCTGCATAAGCCTTAGTGACTACACTTGTCTTCCTTAACTCCAATGGCTTTCTTTCCTACAATCAAGATCATATTCAGAAATGTACTAGCTCTAAAAACATAATCAGACCTTCTACCTCAGATACCCAATCTCTTCCCATAAGCTCTCTGGAAGACCTTGAGACAGTTGACAAACCCCTTCATTTTCTCCTGATCTACACACACTGAGTATTATGTGCCAAACACTAATATTAGCCCTCTCCTGGCTTTATTGCATTCCTTCCTTTCTAGCTTAAACTCCATGGTTCACCACCTCAAGCGCTTGTTTGCTAGCATCCACTGAACTCATCTGGCAAAACCCCAATCCTATGTGATTCCAATTATGTCATATCCCTTTGCTATCCCAGTACCTAGCATATGGAATGCTGTTGGAGAAGATCAGAAGTTTCACAGATTGGTGCCACTGTAAACTCAAGGTCAGAAGCCTCAACTGGGCCCCGCAACACTTCCAGCAAGTTGCTTTCTTTGTCAGCACTTTCCTGCTTCCCCATGGCACTATTTCAAATATCCATATCACTCTCAAACTGCTATGATTTCTGCCCTTACTCACTTCTGCCTCCTTATTGAAAAGGAAAAAGACATCAGAACTCCCTCAACTTCTTGTCGCCAAACCTTCAACTCAGCCTCACCTGAATTCATCTTTTCTTCTTGTTATAATGCAAACAGATTCCTTCTCTCATCAGAGCTATTTTTTTCAACTAGTGTTTCTAAATCTCACATTTATATACCATTTCTAGGACTTCACTGCTTTCAATTAGTATCTCTCTCCCTTGTATCATTAACTCTTCTTCTCTATTGGCCTTTCATATTAGCATTTAAATATGTTCAAATCTTTAAAAAATATTACCCCTTTCACCCCTTTAGGTAATAATCTTCTCTTCCTCTTTATGATGAAAAAATTTCAGAATATAGGCTCATGAAGAGATGATATATATGTTATACTTGTTGGTATATCCCCAATATATATATCCCCACTCAATAACACAGTGATTATAATGGTAACACAATAAATGTTTAATGAATCAATAAAAAGCACTCTCTTTAACTGCTACATCTTCTTATAAATACTATTCACACGCACTATAATGTGATTTCTACCCCACTGTATCCCTAAAGTGTTCCTAATAATGTTGTAAGTAACTTTTTCATCATTATATGAATGGACTCTACTTGATTTCCTGGCAACTGACAATTTTGACCACTACTCCCTTCTCTTAAGTTTTCCTACTTGAATATACAATCACTGTATATAGAAAACCACTTTATCTGCTTAGGCTCATACCATGGGTATTTTCCCTTTTCCATCCTTCAAAAGTATAATTTTTAATAACTTCATAGTGGCTTTATAAGAATATACAATAAATTACTTCTCCATTCCTTTATTAAAATATCATTTCCCTTATTTAGGTTGTGTACTATGACCTAATAGTTCATTCTCTGCTACAGGTGTCTGGAACTAAGCCTACCTCCCTCTTCCTTGGTAAATGCTCCTGGGATCGCCTATCTCCACAAAGCATCAATCTGGAATGAAACTGTCTCCTTAGTTCCCTTCTTGTTGCTGCCCCAAAAGACAAGCCCACAATGTTTCATGTGAAGCGTTACTGCTCGTCACTACAGGAAAACATGATATATTTATATATTTAGCATATACTAAGTTTAAAGCATAATGAAGTGACTTACAGAATCATAGTCTCTGCTTTGAGCTTCATGGACTTTTAGTGTAAAAAAAAGATGAAAACTCTGATTAATTGAAACTATGACAAGTATCAGAAGATAATCTGTATAATTGTGTCTGTGAGTTGGGGGAAGGTAATGATGGTATATTTGAGAAGGCTTCCTCAAGAAACAAACATTCAAACTGAAATCCAAAGGTGCTACAGCAGTCAGCTAGATAAAGGAGAGGAGTAATTGGTAAGTGCTGCCTATGTAAAGGTGGCAAGCAGAATTGTGAATATGAGGAACTGAAAAAAGCCAGAGTGGTTAAAGCGCAGGTACCTGGGAGGCTACCTAGTGGGGAAGCTGTGTGTACCAGATGTGGCTGGACACAAAAGTAGGGGCCAATCACTGGGGTCTTGTAGTATATTTTGAAGATTCTGTTTTCTATCCCAAGGTATGGAAACTATTAAAGACTTTTCAGTAAGAGAGTGACACTACATTTTTATAAGATCATTGCAGTTATAGTATGGGCAACAAATTATAAAGGGTCAGAGTAGATAAAAGACCAATTAGGAGGCTACTAGAGAAGAGAGAGAGTGGCTTGGTCTAGAAGGGCAACAGTACAAAGGATAAAAGTGAGTGAATTCTAGATACGTAGGAGGGATTTAGTAGGGTCAGTAGCATCACTACTTGGCCACTGGGAGTGTGAAGAAAGCAGTGACAAGAGTGATTCCCAGGTTTCAGGCCTGTGTAACCACAATGGACTACAGTGCAAATTGCTGACACAGGGAACACTGGAGGAGGGCTGGATCTTTCCTTTTTTGTTGGCAGGCAAAAGTGGAGATCAGAAATCCTGAGTTCAGTTTTGGAAATACATTGATGTTGCTGGGAAACATCCAATAAAGGTCAAGAATATCAGAAAAAATACCTGGCCTTTAAAAATTGGGAAATTATTAATATAGAGATGGTTGCTTAAGTCATGGGTTTAACTAAAACTGTCTAGGAAAAAAGCATATGTAAAGAGAAAAGAACCAGGTCTCAAGGACCAGCTATATTTAAAGGTCAGATGGAAAGGATAAGCTGGCAAATGAGCCTTAGGAAAAAAACAGCCAAAGAATAAAGAGGAAAACCAGAGGACTGGAATTGTCGGGTATAAGGGAAAAGAGTGTTAAGAAAGAGCACAGTCAACAGTGTCAAGAGTCATTCAGAAGGCAAATAGCCTGAGGACTAAACAGGTTCTGGGAAACTGAATTCAGAGCACAGATGGGAGAAGCCATCTCAGACAGGGAGAGGGGCCTGATGCTACTGAAAAAGACAGGAGATGAGCACTAAAGTAGGTAGTTGACAGTGTCCCAACTGCTGGTTTCAATTTCATTTAGTGAAACACAGTTAAGTACTCAACAGTGAATATAGATGTTAGGGTTTGTGGTTTGACTAGAGTCAAGAATCTACGTTGAAAACAAGCCTGTGAACCATGTGCTCTGTTCTTCAATATATGATGTGGAATTGCTGGGAGGATGGGAGAAGATAATCCATCATAAAGACAACAGGAGAAAAAGAGCCAGACTGCATGAATCTCAAAGAAAGCCACAAGAAGCTGGGGATAGTAACAATCTGAAAGCAGCAGCAAGAAGAAAGGATGGCACTTAAAAAGAGCATTTAACCCTGAGAGACTGGGATCTAAGAAAATAAGTAGCTACCAAGAGCACAACTCCAGGGGTAGTAGCATCCCCAGGTAAGAATCAGGTTTTCATTAGGCAATGAGGAAGGATACCAGGAAAAGATGGAAGGATGTGGGAAGGAAGGAAGGAAAGAATGGGAAGCTAAATCAGCAGAAAGGAAGTACAAATCATCATGGGGATGAGAGAGTGGAAGAGGGCAGATGAGGGAAGAAGGAGGTGGTTATCCTCTGGATACTGCCCAGGGAAGGCAAGGAAGAGAGAGAAAACAAAATTAATGAAGCAGGTTACAGAGTTCCAAGTTCTATAGCCAACTTCCAGGTCTATAATTCCTGTTCCTTTCAGACATGGTAAATGGAAGTGTAGTTCGCTGGGTGTGTTTAATACCACTGATGCTGAGGATTAAGTAACACCCAGTTCTGTTGGTTCACTGTATATTCATCATATTGGGCATTCAAAAACCTTTTCCCCATGTAGATTATGTGGGGGCACAACCCAACACATTCCAAGTGATGACAAAATCCTTGAAATGAATGTTTCATTCAAAAAGTCTTTGATAGATAGAGGCTCCTAGATATAAAGCAAAAATACAACTTTTAGAAAAAGAAGTTATTTCCTTATGGTCATACTGAATACATTAAAAAAAGTTCCTGCTCAGTTTCCTCTATGTAAAAGATTCTCCAGTTGTAGCAAAACAACACATTTCAAAATCGTCATTTAATGTTTTAGAGTCTACACACAATCAAAATGTCTCAAATACCTGCCTCATATTATCACAGAACTTTAATTCAGAAGAGACTTCAGGGCAGAGGATGCCTACCTATGGACTTCGGAACTTCAAGAAGCTGTAAGATTCATTAGAGGAGAACTGTAAACCCATCCCCATGTCAAGCACTGTTTTAGGCTAAATTATGTCTTATGCCTATATGCTATGAATTTTGAATATATGTAAATACTTTTGTGATTAATTTTAAAAGGATATTAAAATGAAATCTTCATATCAAAAAGGCTGGAAAAGCATTGTCCTATGGATTGTCATCTTCCACCTACCAGTCTTCACATACATTACCTCTTCAACAAGTCCTGACAGACCGTTATCCAGCTGCACACATGAGATTAAGACATCTTTTCACATAAATGACTGGAACATTTTCCATAACAATTAAGTATACCTCTTTGTAGGAAACTGGTAACATTTTTAGACAGCTCTTATTCTGACAGACATTATTTTCTTCTGTAGAATTTCTAACACTCTAGAATTACTCAGAATTAGTCTCATCCATTTTGTACATGACAGCCCCTGAAATATACTGAGACAGTGACCTTATCTTTCCTAAGGCTTTTCTCCCACACCCTGTCCCTCAGTTAGGGATGTGACATGGTCTCTCAGTCTACCACTCTCCTCCTGTCCTTTCAGCACGAACCCATTTGTCAACACCCTTATTAAAATTCCAAGCACAGCACAACACACCAGATTTGATCTGCCTATGGCAACATACAGTAGACCTATTATATTCCTTGAATCAGACACCTGGATTTTTTAAAACCTTGTACTCAGCTAAAATACTTAGGACTTAAGCCAGGTCCCTCCCATTTTGTTTTAGGACACAGGAGTGTTTGATGGTCAAGTGTCCATTAGATCCTACCTTGCTACTATGGGACCATTACTGCAGTCTGTTAAGGTCTTTCAGAATCTACATTTTTGCCATCTAACATATAAGCTAATTCTCCCAATTTTATGTCATTTGTAAATTTGATGAAAGGGTTCATTCTACAGTGAAAGTTATTCATTCTTGGCACTTAAATCATCTTTTCTTGCTTAAATGACTAATGACATTACATTAGGAAGAACATTAATTTTTATATTTAGTATATCATTTACATAATTCAAGACATTTTACATTAACAATTATTCTATGCTTACCTAGCAACAGCTCTGATGAAATCTAGAGACACTGTGCATTTGTATTTTGGTCCATCAAGCTGATCATCATGGCCAACCAGGGTTAATAGCTGAAGGGTCACTAGAGAGGTGATCTAAAAATAAGAAAGCATTTTTATGAGAAGTTGGTTTAATGAGATTACATGATACCCTTATTTATGAAACTTCCTTTGATAAAAATATGTAATTGAATTCACAAGAATATCTACAAAAAATATGACTACTTGAAATTTGTACACACAAATTTGTACATATGCTTAAAGTCCTAGTAAATAAAACTAACAATTAGTCTTTAAGGATACACAGAGACAGCTTTGTTTCATTAATGATACACACATGACTGTTAACTTTTTAGACACTACAAATAAAGAACGTAAGAACTCTCTACATCAGAATTTTCTTCTACACTTCCTTGAAAATTGAGCAGTTAAATTGAGAATGTGGGTCTTTTTCAGAGATGGGTAGATGGTTAGACAAAAGATGAATACATCCTTCACACCTGGACTTAGACTTGCTTTAAAACTGTTCACCAACTAGGTAGTCAGGAAAACATCAGAAGGATTAATCTTGGCAAAATTGTATTCTGACAGGTCAAAGCCAAAATACAAAATAACTTCATATTCATAAGACCAAAAAAAGTATTAAGTGATCTGAAATCTGAGAAAGAAAGCTGATCACAGATGAAATTCTTTGAGCTCTTCTCTTCTCCCAATTTCTCATCCTCATCTCCATGAGACTGACAGAAAAAGAGGCCAGCAATGGGAAAAAGGAACAATTTGGAGACTTGGTGATCTGTAACTGCTCTGTGACAACAGAAGCAACAAGTTATAATATCTGTAATAACTAAACATATGTCTTAGGAATCAAAAGTGCTCACTTAATTTGAGTCTATACTTAGCAGATGCTCAGAGCCTTGGAGATAGGAGGTAACTGCAGATCCAGGAAGTAAATGCAGACTCCCATTACAACTCTAAAGGGGAAACTTCAGGTAATATTCAGTCAACTGTGATGACTCTATTTACAAATTAAAATATGAACAGATGGTAGATATAACAGGACTTTATATACAGAAAACAGTGTATTTAGCAAATATGAAGCATTTTTTTCAATTAGAAAAACATTCTGTATTAATACATCAAAATATGAAGCTCAAAAGGCTAAGACTAATTCAAAAGGCTAATTCAATTACAAATTACAAATTAGGTTATGCCTTGAAACATTTTTTATAGATATTTTGTATGTTGAAAGGAGCATTGTGCAGCTGTTGTATGTTCTCTTCTATATACATCTATTAGCATATTTGTGTTGCAAAAATCTTACATACACCATTTTTTATGTACCTACCAGTATATAAAGTAGATTTTATCCACTTGATCTATCAAAACTAAGTGGTACTGAAATTCCCACATTATGTCAAGGAGTTTGTCCTTTTTCTAATTGTAGTTTCTGTTTTATATTTTCGACCCTATGTTAAGAGCATACACTTAAAATTACTGTTTTGCTGGCAAATCAAACATTTCATTATCTAATGGTCCTTTCCTTCACTAAGGCTTTTTTTGCCCTGCAGTGTATTTTTTCTAATGTTAATAAATGTATGTCAGCATTCTTTCAGGTACTAATCCTTTCCCTTATATTACTTTGCATCATTTTACTTTTAAGTTTTATATTTTCTTAATTTCAGATAGTTCTCATGTAAACAACATGTAGTGGAGTTTTCTTTTTATAGGCAGTCTGACAACTTTTACCTTTCCATTGGACTATATACTCCATTTGCTTTTATTGTAGTTATATTCTGAAATTTTATTTCTACCATTAACTTTTCTATTTGTCCTTCTATGCATCTTTTTCCTTTCTTACCTCTTATCAAACTGAATTATAATATTTTCTATTCTCTTACTCTACCTTGGAAGTAGCTGTATACTCCAATTTAATTCTCATTTCCATTTTTATTTCTTCTTTGGCCCCAAGCTATTTTAGAATTCTTTAATTTCCAACTTATGGCATTTTTCTAGTATTTTTTGTTTTGTTTTGGTGGAGGCAGGGGTGGGTGGGAATCACAGAATGCGATCTATGTACCAGCAATCCTTTGAAATGTGTTGGGACAGCTGGCTTCTCCAGAATGAAAGCAGAGTATAGAGGGGCCTGAATGTCACTGTGATGAAGAGTGAAATATACCGTGATGGCTGCCCTCCCTGTCCTGCATACCAGGGCCCTTCATCTCTGTCCCAAGAATGTCTCCAGCCAATCTGCAGCTGAGTGCAAAACAGGCCCACAGAATGGAATGACCCATGCCAGGCAAACAAGGTGGAATGAGATGAGTTTTCTCGCTTACTTATATAAGTACCTACATAATATCCTCCATTTTGCCTCCTGCCTGCAAAACCTAAACTATTTACTAGGTGGCCCTTTAGTGAAAAAGTTTACCAACCCCTGCATTAGAGAATTGCTAGATACAGATATTAATTAAACCAATGTAGAAATTAAGATGTTGAGTGACTTGCTCTGAGTGATGACTGTATGGTTGCAGAAACTCACTTGACTAGGATTGGGGTCTCATAACTATAACTCTAAAATTTTTGAAAAGCATGATGAAACTGTCATCAGAGCTGAGAGAGTTAACATCTAATAAGCTGTATCATACTCTTGCCTGAAAAAAGAATGTGTTGAAGAAAAATAGGGATAATCTGTAAAAAGTGGAGTGTTCAAAAGAATACACCTGGTAGTATGCCTCTAGCATACTGGGCTCCTCGCCCATTAACCTGGAAATCTGGTACATGCTACAAGTATGTATGTGCTCACCACAGAGGTGTTTGTCTAGCTGTCACTCAGGGTATTAAGATCATCTAATTATCTCCTTCCCACAACCCAGAGCCCCGGATCCATTCTGATTCCACACTTAATCTTCTGATTTCAGAAAAGAGAAAGAACATTCAAAGTTAAGAAGACCTCCTTCAGGCACTTACCAGCAAAACTCAGATTAGTCACTTAAACAATCTAAACCTCAGTTTTCAAAACTAAAAACCAGAATAATAAGACATTAACCATACAGGTATGTTTTGAGTACTTGTGAGAAAACTATAAAAATGCATATAAGTCAAGGTCTTTAATGCCTGGCACAGAGCAAATGCTCAATAAACTATACCTATTATGGTTAACAGGTATAAATTTATACCTGCTTAAGAAATCAAGATTTTGAGCTTATTGAACTCATCAGCAAATTTAAATATCCCATTTGCTTAATAATTTTTTCAATATCTAGTCTGCTTAACAATATTATCAGTAAACTAGCATTCTGGCTTAAACATTTGTGTCTTGAGATTTGACTGGTATCATTAATTCTAACCATATCCCTAAGATACCGGCCACCTCCAGGAAAACCTACAAAAACCTGAAGAGCTAAGGGCCAGTTCCTGAGCTAAAGCTGCCCACCCAAACAAGGGCTTTAGAGAATTCTGACTCTCCAAGTGATACAATCCTACCTCACCACTGGTGCCCTCTAGTCTCAATGAACTGCCTCTAAGTTTTAATTTTCCAAACCGTGACATGAAAATTTTTCAACTTATTTTTAGTACCTGCAAATAAGAAAATACAAGATGTGACACTGGTATGTTTGAGTCCATGAGCTTAGAATCTATCTAAAGTGAAATCAAGTCCTTTATCCAAATAATTACACAAATGATTGTAGGTGATAGGAAAGGTTTGAAAAAAAGCCAAAATAAATAAATTGGTAACACTTGCTACCTATCTGGAAATTCAGTCATTAGACATAAGTTTTCTGTGGGGATAAAAATCCTTAAAAAGCAATTTTATGTTTGTCAACAGATTTGTTTATATCTTACAAAGCTTTTGTTAAAGGACAGAAGAAAAGACCAAACTTAAAGGTATCTTCTATGATTACTAGAAGAATAAACCATCAAAGAATGAAGTGAAATAAATGAAAGCTCCTTATAATAAGCAGTACAGAATTAAATGCTTCTTTATACTACCATCATTTTTAAAACCTTTGCTAGATTCACTGACCTCAACCACAGAAGCATTTTATTACTTACCTAGTTTCCTATGCCATACTTTAGAAAAGAGATTTCCATTTAGGCATCAAAGGGCCCTGCTACTGTTCATATGATGAAAAAGTAACTAGACTTTTACTAGAAACTAATCCTGTATTTCCAAAAATGAGTAATTATTAAATAATCTACTATATATAACACTTTTTAATTCATTAGGCAAATATTTACTGAATTTAATATGGCTCCACCATTTTGGTATACATGTATTATTCCATTCCATAAAATTAGAAAAGGTGCACCCCTTCTTTGGTAGGGCTTACCCCCACAAATATAAGTGTTCACAAATATCAAACTGATATATATTACAATAGAGATGAAAAAGATATGTTTAGTCGTTACCTTTAACTTTTATTTTACCTGACAAGTTTAAATATAACTACTAATAGCTGAAAAGTGGAAGGTCTTTTTTTTTTTATACTAATTTTGAATTAGGGATTAAAATGACAAGAGCTGGTCAAAGAGGTGATTAAACTATTTCAATTCTGTAAGATTTCTTCACACTTTAATTGGAAGGGTGTAGAGGGTAACAAAGTGATAGGGAAGGAAATCCAGGTGAAATAAAGTCAAGGAGAATCCAGAGTAACTTACACCTGGCACAGATTACTGTATTTTCTAAGTGAAATTATTTCTATTGTTAGTATTCATATCTAATGAAGATATAAGGAAAAGTAAAACTGGTTCAAGGCAAAAATGATTTCATAAGCTAGTAAATGCTTTTCTTAGTAACATTTTATATGCACATATGAGTAAAGTTAATGAAAAGGTTAAAGAAAGTCAGGTTACTCAACATTTTTATAAAAATTAAGAGTTTCCATTTACCAAGGAGTTAAGTTAAATGAAACACAATTGTTAAAAGTTGGTTGTTAAGAATGTGTGAAACAGTGATGAGCCCATTAAATTAGGTGATCTGTAGAGCACTTAGCACAGTGCCTGGAACACAGTATTCACTAGGATGAGATATTATTTATATTATTACTACCTGTTAGCATTATTTTTGATTTTCAAGTTTAATGAGTAGGTTTCTTTTC